AGGGTTGTTAAACGCCAATAGCAGAGTTACGCTGTGGAAGACAGGGGTCAGGTTTGGGACAGAAAAGTGTCCAGCATCCCTTGTGCCTCCTGTCCTGCAGAGTAGACAGCAAGTGGAGGACAAAGAGTGGCATGGAGGAGATGCTGACCCCCTGCGCATGGGTTCGAGCAGGGGCAGCACAACACTAATTTTTAGCATGGGTGGTGAGAAGAAGTCTAAATGCCGTGAGGTGGACGTTTACCAGGTTTGAGTTCCTTGGGGGAAGACAGAGTCAGGAGGAGATGAGCCCCTGGTCCCATTGTCCAAAGTGACACGAGGATGTCCCCTCACAAGAAGAGAGAGCACACAGGTGGATGGATAGGCAGCCTCCCTCAGAGCCTGCATCTGCCTGGGAAGGTGGGATGTTGGCACCTCATGGCAGATGTGGGGAATTTCAGCCCCTTCAGTAGGATCACAAGTTTCAGCAGCTTAGCATCCCCACCCACCCCCACCCCCTGCCTTTTTAGTTTCGCTCTGTGAATGGGAGATTCAGACAGACAGACAGAAAATCAGGGACTACCACATCTGCTCTGAAAAGTTGAGTCCTAGAGAGGATGGAGGGTTGTTAAATGCCAATAGCAGTGTTGCCCTGTAGGAGACAGAGGTCACCTTGAATCACACAGGTTGGTCAGGATATCAAAACAAAGATCTTTTAGGGGGCAAATTAGAATGCAGCTTTTCTTTTCCTTCCTACCATGGGAAACATTGTTCATTAAACCCTCTCAAAATGTGCTGCTGTATTTAATCTCACTGTTGTATGTCCCTGAGGAAGTGGCCCATTAGCCAAACTGCACATAAGGCTCTTGGAAAAAGTGCTCTAAAGCTACAAGGAAACCTGTGGAGCCAGGTTTTGGGCCAGGGCGCTGAGATAGCAACAAGGGGGGAGCAAGAAGAGCATCATCACAACCGTCTTTACAAATTAGTGCAAACTGTGAACAACAGTGGCGTGTCTCCTGCCATGATCAGGCACAGAGAAAACTGGTTATGTACAGCCAGACAGCCAGCAAGTAGAGGTGCCATGCCTGGACACAGCCCAGACAGAACCCGGCCCGCTAAAATTACTTGCTCCAGCTCTGCATAAACACAGTGGCCAGTACAGTCCTGCTCCTGCAAGGATGCGGCCAACTGAGAAGCCTGTTAGCAGGACACGTGCTGTGGGGTGATGGCTCTCTGAACAGCAGTGCCCTCCCCTGGGGCGTGGGAGGGCTGAGATGTGCAGGTTCAGAGGGGGGAACCCCAACGCAGCAGCTGGATGAGCAAGAGAAATAACACAGAGGAGAAATAACAACAAGGAGACAGGCTGACCTTGGCTAAAACGCCTGCTGTTGAAGAGTTAGACTCCTCAAAGAAGAAACTCAAAACTATTTTCTTAGTGACAGAGGAGAAATATGTGAATCCAGGAGAAACATGATCAGGAAAGACATGCCTATGAGCAGGAGCTTAGTGGTGTGAGAAAAGATACAGTGGGGGCAAAAAAAAAGGATTGCAAAGATGTTTTGAGACATGGGAATGCATCTACTGGTAAAAAGGAATGTAGATATGAAGACTGCTTATTTTAGAGTAGAGATAAAGACAGGGCTTACACAAGGCCCTTTTACTTTTGGGTGGTTTTTTTGTTATCATGAGCAATGATAGAGATACACTGGGTAATGAATGGTTTGAAGTCAACATTTGATTAAGCTGAGATCTGTGAGGTCCTCATCACTGGCATTTCTGAGTCCACACTGGATCTCTCATGACAGATGGATAAGAGAACTGAGAAGTGAATCAAGATAAAAGGAAGTCTTTTGGTTTTATACTGTCTATCAGTAACCTATATAAGCCACTCCTGCAAAATATACCCAGGACCAAGGACTCTATAGCTAGCGAGCATCCATAGCCCAAGCTCGCACCTTATGCTGCAAGTCAGTGTCTGTACTCAGAATCAGTAAGTGTTTGGGGTTCAAAAAAAACTTTTCCAATAGCCAGGATATTGTGCAATTGTTCCTGTTGTAGACATGCAGCCCTTTTCACTGAAGCAGATAGTACTGGCAGTTGCTGGGAGTGAAATTGTATAGATGTGGTATAGCAATGGACATTGCGGGACAGAAAAATGTCTTTGCTCCCAGGAAAACCATATTTTACACAAATAACTGTTTTCTGTCAATGATCATAGAATGACAGAGAGGATGCCACCTATTTGAATGAAAGAGGCCTTGTGAGCTTAGTCAGCCGTTCTTCCTGCCTGGGGAAAAGCTGCTGTAATCACATCTGAAGATTTTTTTCAAACTCACTCTGAAAAATCACCAAGATTCAGCAATCTCTTAGAAAATTGTCCCAGTCTTTCCCTGTCCTCACACAAGACAGAATATGTGCAAAAAAAAATGAAATAGCCCCTCCAGCTATTTCCTCAGTAATATTTCTGTGCATTGTTACAACACAAAGCATAGTCAACAAAAATTAAATGGGTAACTTAATCTTTCAAGATAAGAGCAAGAAACTTTCTAATGAAATTTCTTAACATCAGGACTTCTGAGCTCCTCTTCTGATTTATTAAGGCTCTGTTCCCTACAGAGTCTCTGATATACAGAATTTCAGGAAGAATGATGTCTCCAGGAGGAAGCAAAGGTGAAGTGATTTTTTGATGGGAAGCTAATATCAGCTGTAAATATAGGGCAGCTTCTGTTGCTTCTTAATATAAACTTTTCTGAGAGGCTGCATAGACTTTGTATTTCCTTAATGGAGATACATTTTTTCAATTTAAAATCTTACACAGGTGAAATACTGCTTTCATTGATGATCACAGTAGGAAATCAATTCAGTATTACACATTCTGAAATAGATCCCATAAATTGCCTCAGCTCCTTGATTGCAATGCAAGCCTGACAACCCCCACAGCTGAGGCTCTGTCTCTCTATTTAGATAGTGGATGGTATTCTGACTGCCACCTTATAAACAGAGCAGATAAGCTGGCAGTAAAGACAAGACTGAGAGAAATCTGCTGACATCAGACTAAAATAGACATTTCTTTCTTGATAGTATTTGATTTTCAGAGGCTCTTGAGAATATAGAGTTCAAATCTCTGAGATTCATGGTGTACTGTACTATACAAGGTCTTTCATGTCACTGACAACTTTATGGGCAATAGCTCTTGCCATCAGATAGCATTCAATATGTGCAAACACAGGCTGAAAACTACGTTCCTTTTTGGCTGTAACATTGCAGGTCCAGTCTCATGAACTGCTGGGAGCACAATTTATCTTATTTGTGCTGAATTAATCTTAAGAAAGTACGGGAAATGTTAGACCTATGGCTCAGAGAGGGCAAATGTCATGGTGAAATTAAGGGATTAGCATTGAGCCAGAGAGGCTGCTGCTGCCGGGGCAGGGACAGGAGCTCAAAGGATGCTGTAAGCCAGTCCCGTATTCAGGTTCCAGCGGGCCAGTTGCCCCTGACTTAAGATGTATGGGCAGTGAAAATTGGTACCAGCATGCATAGCTCGTAACGAAACCAGTACATCTCATATAGCCTGAAAATGTGTCATCAGCCTCTTGGACCTATGAAGTTGAGCTGAGTGGAGAGAGACTCTCCTTTTAACTCTACTTCCCCTTTTACTACAACCAGTTAAATACCATTGCCTGTCTCATGGCAGAAGTTTACCAAAACTTGGGTCTGAAGAAACATTTCTCCCCTCAGAAAAAACTCCACAGGAAAAATAAACAAACCTTTACAGAGCCACACAGGCATTGCACCAGTCACTGGACCACATTTCTCAGCTCAAAGAGGTGCACGTTTTTATCTCTTCTATGTCCAAGCTACTAACCCTGATGATATTTAAACTTGTACCACAATGGGCAAAGTCATAACACTCTAAAAATCCTTTCTCCCAGGGAGGTAATGAAAGCCTCTAGAGTAGGGGACGAGGGAGCAGACAAGCCTGAAAACTTCTCCCGCTGAGCAATATCCAACAAGAAGAATATTTGGATGATGCACAACCATCCTTAGGGGCCCTGCTTCTCTCCTGCTTTGCAGTGTGAGGACTTATCTTGAGAAACATTGAGGCGTGCAAAGCCCAAAAGAGCAGCAGCTCATTCCTTTGCCTTTCTTTGAACCTCGCAAAGAGTAGACATTGCAAGCTGACCTATTGTGCCTATGAAAACATTTGCAGTTCTGTCCTGGAATTAAGCTAAGAAAAATTATTTGTGTAATGAGCACAGACAGATCTCAGGTGATATATCTTAGGAGGGGGTTTTCTAGAAGACATGAAGGGTTTTTTTCAGACTTTCACACATTTTTGTGGACTTACTCCAAACTCCTGCACTGGCTTTGGTAACATCACTTGTACTTCAGAGGACAAGATGTGTCAGCGTTGCGAGCAACAGAGCTCTGGGTAAGGGGATGTACAGTGGCTGGACATCCAGAGCCTGCTGGAAGTTTCTATGACTCCACCAGACTGTAGGAAAGATGTGAAGGCACAATGTGAAGCCAAAGTTGACAAAAGATGTTTAATATATTACATAGGGCTGACATGGGGCACTGAAGACTTTCATTCCCACAGTAGTGGAAGAATGACAGCCACTACCTTGGTTTTGACAGTGAAATTGGACAGACAAGAGGAAGAAGCTGCACAGGTACTACACAAATAAACATGATGCTAAATGCAGGGAAAACCTCTCTGTGTGTCTGTGGGTGGGTGGATGTGTGCACATGCATCTACAAACACAGGTCAAGTGAGCTGTTCACGTACTACAGCTTCTCAGGCTGGAGTAAGTGGATTTGGCAATAGATTGTGAGGGAACTGTATCCATAATATCATTCTCCTTGAAAAGGTGTTTTCAATTTGCACCGTCACGTAGCAGATAATGTTTGGTATCCACAGTAGACAGTAAATGATGTCTTTGATTTTTTTCTTTGCTGTAATAATTTTTGAGCAAAAAACCATTTGTTCCTCTATCTTTTCCAGTGTAAAGATAGTCACAGACTTATCGATAAAGAAGAAAGTTCTCAAGTGGCTCAGGCAGGTGCAGCTTGTGGACTGTGTATAGGCACGACCGACCTAGATGCTTTCTGATGCACAATCGGCACAGCTGGGCAAGGCTGGCAGGACCTGGGGAAAAAAAAGGCAAGAACAAGAACCCCCAACCCCACCACCAGTATAAGTCAGAAAGCAACATCAGTAAGGTTTGCAAATCAGATCAAGCACTACGCAATGACTTCCTGAAGTCAGGGAGAGCTAAATACGTTATTGTTCATATTTAATTTGTGTTGACAAAGTTGTTTCAGTGATTCAAAAACTATGAGCACTAAAAACCTTTTTTTCTGCATGCACAGCTAGGCTTTTCTGCAGCATACACTTAAAATACCATAAAGGTGTCTGCACTGGAAAGAGAGCACCAGGGTGCATAGCCCTTGCTCAGGATATAAGACAAGTCCCAGCAGTGTTGTGAGGATAAAGACAAGAGGGATCACGGGGAGCTGCAGAGGTGTTCAGTGTAGACCAGCTGTAACTGGGTGAATATGGCAAATATAGTCAGCTGTTCATATATACAGAACATGCTTCTTCCAACTACTGGTGTCTCAGCAGGTACCCGCACAAGTAGTAACTGCAACTTAGCCCTTGTACATGACCACACGGTGTCTGAATATTTATGTATGTCAGCCTATCTACCAGTGCTCCTCAAAATAATTTCTTAATGTGTCATCCAATTTTAATTAAGTCTGACTGAAAGGGAAACATCTCAAATATAGAAAGCCTCCAAAAGTTTTGTTCAAAAAGGCACTGAAAAACCTAAAAAATATTAAAAAAAAAAAAAAGAATAAAAAGAATAAAAAGATAAGAGGCCTTTTTGCCCTTCCCTTGGCTTGGGAAAAATGTTGCCACATGTGAAAACCTCTTGTTAAGCATTGGATAGTCCACTGGTAGGAAAGCTGGGGGAGGACTCATCACCAGGACAATGGTGAGGCCGTCTTGGGCAGTAACTTGCATGGCACTGCACACAGCGGTGCTGCCCCAGTGGCTTCTCCGTTGGATGATCAGACAGGTCCTCCCAGCCCATCCCAACGCAGGTCAGGTGAAGGGCACACCAGGCACAAACCCACTGGAAATGGGGCTCCGTTGCTTCTGCACCCACATCCTTGCACGTGCAAATGCAACTTGTGTGTGAACACGTCCCTGCTTCCCCTTCACGTTCCTCTTGCTGGAGTTGCTCCAGGTTGAACTTGCACGCCTGCCCAGAGGTGTTCATTTTTCAAGTCCTGTCTCAGCCCTGCCCCTCCAGTTTCTGGCCAAATAGTAGCCATCATAGCAGTGTTTGGCAACCAATGGGTAGAGATGTATGCTTAAAAACATGCCCTTATATCTTCCAGGTAAGCTTCATAATCTGTGCTTTTACTACAGGAAAATTTAGGAGACTTAACAGGCTGATAATGCCCCCTCTGAGAAGAAATTAATAGAAAAATATGGAATATATAGAAAAGAGCACTTGTACTACTGTCACTAGAAGTGGCGAAAGAAGCTACCATCTCCCAAAGCAGTTAGAAAAACAGAAACATTTTATATTTCACATGACTTAAGGTCTAGGAAAAGGAGCAATTAAAAGGAGCCATCTAAGTAACCACAGCAGAGAAGTCAGGCAGTATAAAGAAAACTCATCAAGATAGGTCCTTGTGGTGCTTATTTCAAACAGAAGGACGTCAGAAAACACAGAAGTAGTAGGTGAAAAGGGCAGTTGTAGATGTTAGAAATGGCAAAGTATCTGAAAGTGAGACTAAAGGGAAAGGTGAGGAAACTGAGGAAAATTTATTTCTGAAAAGTGAAGAGCCAGCAGGAGCTGCAGTGCCCCTATAGTCCCTCTGACTGTAAGGGAGGAGAAGGTCACAAGCTGAAAGTGGAGATTAAAAAGAAAGTTCGGGAAGAGAAAATTATTAATATTGGGATATTTCTTTATCTACACAACCTCTCATTCACCCAGGGCAACTGGAGAAGGACAACTGCAAGCATTGCCTGCTGTTGCTGAGCCCTGAACATCTCAGATATGGGGACAGAAGTCACAAAAGGTGAGAAGCATTCAAGCAAAAGTCCTCCCAGAAGGTTACAGACATGACAAATTAAAGTTCTGCACGAAAAGCCATGGAGAAAGGGAGTAGGACAGAAGGATATTAAGCCAATGTTTCATTTCCTCCACAAAACCCACCTTTGTGCAGAGGGCCAGCACAAAGCCTCTGCGCAACATTGACAATATTAATTTACCATCCAAGAGCAATTTTGCAGGCTCTCCATGCACATCGTGCTTTGCTGCTTGGGAAGGAGCGAGCAGGCTTGGGAAGGTGGCAGGCTGCCGGCATGGGGGAGGACCACTCACCCTCCGTGTCGGCAAAGCACTGGGGGGACACAGACCAACTAACAGGGTGAGCTGGGAAACACCGAGGTTAGAGGAGGCAGGGTGGCTTAATTCAGCATGTCCATATCCCAGTGATATTGCTGTTGGATGCATCGAGTTCTGGCTGTATGTGGTGCAGGTGAAAATGGCACATGAGGATCTAGGTTAATTTCTGCTCAAAAGTTTCTTCCAGTAGACTGGAGAGATAATTAGTTGTAGGAAGGCTGAAAATAAGCTGCAAAGGGTACTGCTGGTTTGTGCTGGGATTGCAGCCCCATGAGACATCTGCGTACCATGAAGCTGAATAGCCACCTGGCAAATAGCTCTGCTTTCTCCTAGCGACCAAGGGCACATACACGCTTGTGTCACTTCTTCTGCAGGAAGCAGGACATTGAGCCATGGTGCTGGGTTGAACACAAGATGGTGGTACTAAACTATTGTCTAGGAATAAACTCCCATGCAGTTTTTAATCCTTAGAATCCCAATGCATAAATATATATAATTTTCCTTCAGTAGACTGGAAAAGAAAGCACAGAACAACTGACCAATTTACCCACTAAAACCCAAACACTTGGTGGCAAATCTAGCAACAAAACAGAGAGACCTCACTCATTTCTGTGTCATGTGCTGAAGGCTTGAAATCAGTAGACAAGCTAAGAGAACTTGCATAGAGTATTACTTATAAAAGCAGTTAAGAAAATGTACTTACGTAAAGGAAATAAATACTCTTCTACTTAACAAAAGAAAAGAAAGGAAACCATTACCTTCCCGAAGCAGAAGTGCCTGCTCCACTTTGCTGTTGGGTACGGCAAGATCCAGGGGGCATTTGAGTTCAGCATTTCTGCATTTTGGGTTGGCACCGTAGTCTGTCAGCAAGACGACTACCTCCACACTGGATTTCCTTGCTGCCGCGTGGAGGGGGGTGTCTAATCGCTTCCCCATGTTAACGTTGGCTCCTGGAGTGAACAAGAGCGCATGGTTAGATCTGGGAAGCGGCAGGAACCATCTGAACCCTCACCACACAGGCTGGTTTCCACCAGTAGCCTCAATAAATGAAGGGAATGGATGGCACGCAGGCCTCCCTCATTTCTTTCAGTAGCAGCAGCACAAAACTCGGCAGGTCAAATACCTGCTGTGTAAACGCCCTCTGAGCCACCGAACCCCATCTGCGACGGACAGAACTGAGCGGCTTGACCTTCAAGCCAATAGATGTTCAAAGCCTACTACATGCTCTGTAAATTTGCTAACAACATAAAATCTAACATAGATTATGTTAATTCAATTACTGGGGGTAAAAAAAACCCAAAACCCTTCAGGTTTCTCATTGTAATACCTCTGGGAACACAGCAAGTGAAATGCTTGCCCTGGGCTCACCAGGCACAGCAGGGCCACACTTGGAGCAGGTGTAAGTCAGCTAATGCACACTGACAGCAAAAATTTATGCTAGCTCACTGGCTGTGCCTGGACCTGCAGTGATTATTCTTTCAAGCAGCTTTACTGCTGTCTTCCTCATCCACTGAGAAGCAGGTGAAGGTAATGCTTAACATGGCAGTTTATCACAATCAAGAGTTGATTTCAGTCACCGATATTAGCCAGAATTGTCTGTGCTTCCTGTCAGCATTCTAGAAAACTAAAAGTATTTTATTTTCACATTCAGATGGTCTCAGGGAGGTCTCTGTCATTGGGGTTTTTTTTTTACTGAGGAAATCATAAATTCTTCATGAATGCAGGTGAAATTTTTAATAGCCTCAAACAAGTCTCACAGACTCAGGCTGCCCAAACATGTCTTGTGGAAATAACCCATGATGTTTGCAGTGGCGAGACAGCCCAGAGAGACCAGCAGCGCTGGCTCACACCACCACAGCTTTGCCCTAGCCCCTTTTCCAGGTGTACCGAGCTCCAGAAGCTTCTTGACACAGTCTGTCCTCTGGTATGTGCAAGCCACGTAGAGCGGGGTCCCGTGCTGCAGGTCTTCTTGGTCAATGTCAACCTCATGGGCCAGAAGGATCTCCATGCACTCCCTGTGACCTGTGGAGAGAAGAAGAGCTGTCACTGAAGTGCTGCAGAGCAGAATACACCCAGGTGCAACCAAAGAGGCACAAGAGCTGGGAATAAGCCAACCTAATGCATCTGTACCAGTATGGACAAGTTTAGTTTTGAAAAATATTTTAACATCAACTGTCTATGGCAGGGGGGTTGGAACTCGATGATCTTCAGAGTCCTTTCCAACCTAAACCATTCTATGATTCTATGATTCTATGATCAATAGAAGATGTATTCCTTACTTAGTTATTGATAGCTTCACTCACAGCCTGAATGTTACCTCTCTTGACTGCTTCATGAATGGGCGAAGCAAGGTGGTTCCTGAGCTGCGGCTTGGCTCCGAATTCGAGCAGCATGTTGACGCAGGCCACACTGCCACTGCAGCAGGCATTGAACAGAGGAGTGATCCCATCAATAGTGACTGCGTTGACCTGGAACAGCAAGACATGCTCAGGATAATCAGACTTAAGAGGAATGCCCTTGCAGTGTGCCTCATGGGCACACCAGAAATGCACCAGAAAAAGATGCTTGTCTTGCTTTATTTCAGAATCAATTTTGTTGACAACTTTCAGAGTTATATGTTGTGGCACAACATATATAACATTCATCTTTGAGGTCTGCCCTCTTTCCCAGATAGGTAGTGCCATATGACAGTGACACTGCCTGCTATGAACACTCTTCCTAGAGTTGCTCAAAAAATGCAGATTTTTTTTTTTTTTTTTCTGTGGAGAACTTAAGTATCTTCATGACTGTCTAGTTTGCACCATACCAAAGCCAGAATATGCTCGGATGAAAACAGCTTTGCTTTTTAAATCAAAACATTTACTTCATTTTTAATATTTTCACCTGAAAACACATTTCCAGCAAAAGAAATTTTCACTGAAACATAGTCTTAATCCCAAACAGAAAAGGAGCTTGAAAGAGTTTGTGTTTGTACGCGCGTGTGTGTGTAAGAGAGAAAGAATTTCCTTCCTCCACCTCCAATGTAAAGACCTGGCAAGAACCACCATTCGTCGTTCTCCACTGGGACAGTACAGTGCCGTAGCTGCTACGTTTAACTACATAACAAACCCTCAGTGGCAATTTATGCAGCAAATCTCCATGTCCTTAATTCTGTGGCACACTGGAGAAAAGCAATGGATTATGCAAGCACATGGCAACTTCTGCAGTCTCCAAATCAGGGAGAAGAGGAAAGAGACAGGAGAGGAAGGGCTGGAGAAGTCCTGGGCCAGCAGGGAAGTTGGAGGACTTTGTTACCGATGCAAGCATAGAAGTTGCATCACAAAGGGGTCAGAAGATAAGGGTAGAAATACCTTAGCTCACACAATTTAACTAGCAAGATATTTTGCCTTTAAAGTGGAGAAAGGCAGTGATGTTTAAGAACCTATTGATTTACTCTGGGCAATTCAGCAGCAGAACGTCTGCAGTAGATACCTTCCTAGATATCATTTGCCCTTGTTCAGTGTTCAAGGCCAGGCTCGATGGGGCTTTGAGCAACCTGGTCTACTGGAAGGTGTGCCTGGCCATGGCAGGGGGGTTGGAATTAGATGATCCCTAAGGTCCCTTCTAACTCTAACCATTCTATGATTCTATGATTTGACTTGTTTACGATGCTCTATGAGTTAACTCCTTTTCTCACAAGGTGCTTTTCCCACAATTACAAGTCAGTCCTTGCCATTTCCAGTGTTTCATTCCTTGCAGTCTTCAGCAGGCTCCAACCATGCAGTAGCAAGTGCGAGGCCATGATCCCCAATGTGATGCTACGCTTGCAGATTAGGCAGGTACACTGGAGGAGGCAGCCCCTGCTCCTTGGTGCCTCCTCTGCTTGCTCACCTTCAGGAAAGACCAGTGCGGGGAACAGACCTGGCTGGAAAATAATCATGACAGGGCCAGAAGGTGGGCAAGTTAGCATGGTATGGGGATATACCAGGTACCACAGCACAGGGGACATCTGTCTGCTCAGACACTGGAGTCCAAAATGCAGCTTGCTCTTCCTGAAATTGCAAGGCTCCAACTAAGACCCTGTTTCAACAGCACTGTCCCTACAGATCCCAGCCTCTTCCTCAGTCTGCCTCCCCTTCTGCTGATGGCTGGGCTAACCTATCCCTCATCCTGCACAGCTTCTAAAACAGCAAAAGGAAATAGATAGAGATGCTTTGGGGGTATCTGTATTTCAGACAGACTACATGCCACAGCCCTGCAGCCCAGCACTGCCCCCCGCCTCCCCCCAGTCTCATCAGGCAGATGTGGCTGGAGCTGCTGGAGGCACTGGGGGTCTGTCAGCATCATTTCACGACAGGGCCAGTGATTCAGGCAAGCTGATAACCAAGGGTAAGCAAGGAGATAAGTGAAGAAGGAAAATTACTTCTTTGGTTTCCCTCTCCACTGGGCATTGGTTTAACTGGCAATAGGGGAAAGAACAGTAAGACAATGGTTTGGTAAAAAAAGGAAATAGAGAAGAGCAGAGCAATAAAAAAGAGCAGATGAATGGTACATTTTCTCACAAAAGTTAGACGACAGCCTGTTGACTTCATTTATGAACAGAGAGCAGGGGAAAAGCAAAAAACATCAGAGCTATATATTATACCAGGAATAGGTTGATTTCTTAGGAAAGCAAGAAGTAGTGCAGAGATGATTCTCTGAGTTATAAAAAGGCAATGCCATTAATATACCAAAATCAACTAAAAATGAGAGGAAAGGGGTTTTCCTTTCATCTTTCTAAGGGACTGAAATTTCTCATACAGTTTAGGAAGTTAACAAATGTATTTTCTTTTGCAGAGGATAACTTGATTGCTTGTTTTAGTATTGCTCTGTTTCTTGTCATATAAATTGTACTGGAAAACCCAGCTGAATGAAACATTTTCTTATATATTTCATCCATTCCTGTATCTCCATTTTTAACATGCATTCTACCTTAGGTCCAGCTGAGGGAAATGTTATTTTATTAGCAGATAAAACGTTTCATTGCCTCATTTGACACAGTCTCCCATAACATCCTCATAGGTAAGCTTAGGAAGTGTGGGTTAGATGAGCAGAATGTGACGTGGATTGAGAACTGGCTGAATGGCAGAGCTCAGAGGGTTGTGATCAGTGGTGCAGAGTCCATTTGGAGGCCTGTAACAAGCGGTGTTCCCCACGGGTCAGTACTGGGTCCAGTCTTGTTCAACATATTCATCAACAACCCAGATGAGAGGACAGAGTGTACCCTCAGCAAGTTTACTGATGATGCAAAACTGGGAGGGGTGGCTGACACGCCGGAAGGCTGTGCCACCTTACAGCGAGACCTGGACAGGCTGGAGAGTTGGGCAGAGAGAAACCTTATGAAATTCAACAAGGGCAAGTGCAGGGTCCTGCACCTAGGGAAGAATAAGCCCATACACCAATACAGGTCAGGGGCTGACCTGCTGGAAAGCACCTCTGCAGAGAGATACCTGGGCTGGGAGTCCTGGTGGACAAGTTGACCACGAGCCAGCAATGCATCCTTGGGGCCAAGAAGGCCAATGGTATCCTGGGGTACATTAAAAAGAGTGTAGTTAGCAGGTCGAGGGAGGTCATCCTCCCCCTCTACTCTGCCCTGGTGAGGCTGAATCTGGAGTACTGTGTCCAGTTCTGGGCTCCTCAGCTCAAGAAAGACAGGGAACTTCTGGACAGAGTCCAGTGGGGGGCTACAAAGATGATCAAGGGACTGAAGCACCTCTCTTATGAGGAAAGGCTGAGACTTCCATCTGTTCAGCCTGGAGAAGAGAAGACTGAGGGGATCTCATCAATGCTTATAAATATCTAAAGGGTGATTGTCAAGAGGATAAGGTCAGACTCTTTTCAGTGTTGCCCAGCGACAGGACAAGGGGCAATGGGCACAAACTGGAAAACAGGAATTTCCTTCTTAACATGAGAAAAAACTTCTTCACTTTGAGGTGGCAGAGTACTGGAACAGGCTGCCCAGAGAGGCTGTGGAGTCTCCTTCTCTGGAGATATTCAAAACCCACGTGGACGTGATCACAGAATGGTTTAGGTTGAAAGGGACCTTGAAGATCATCGAGTTCCAACCCCCCTGCCATAGCAGGGACACCTCCGACTAGACCAGGTTGTCCAAGGCCACATCCAGCCTGGCCTTAAACACCTCCAGGGATGGGGCCTCAACAACCT